GAGTATTCATTAAATCATGTTCAAGTGAAGCCTGAATAATAATAATAATAAGAAGAAAAATAAATAAATAAAAGATAAATTTGAAAATAATTTTAAATTTATTTACAATTTGCTTTTCAAATTTTTCTCGTTCAAGATCTGCTGTTTGATTTGTATTAGTTAATGATTCTGATGTCTGAAATAGAAAAGAATTTCTAAAATGATAAGTTATTTTAAAAATAAACAATACAAGATCTTTGCAATAACACATAATATCAACTTTTTTTGTTTTATATACAAAACAAAAATTTTGAATCCTCATAATCAAGATAATAGCTCAAAAATTTCCTATTAGAAAGTTTTTATTGAGTAAAATTTGACATAAACTTAGCATTTTATAATGAAATTTATTTTCTTTTATACCTGTAATAAATTATTACTAAGTTCATTTAATTGTATTTCGAATTTTCGTTTTTCTTCATCATATTCTTTAATTAATTGATCATGGTCATTATTTATTGTATTCAATTGTTTTTCTGTTTGTTGTTGTTCTTCAATTTGTTTTTCTAGTTTAGTCTATTTCAAGAAATAAAAAAAATTAAATGTAAACAATAAAAAGAAAATCTAAGAAATTTTACTTTATTATCAATAATAACTGTATGAATAACAGTTAAATAATTAGTAAATTCATGATGAATTTCTTCTAATATTTGTGTACGAATTGTTTGAGATTCTTGTTCCGACTAAAAAGATCATTTTTAGAATAGAGTTCTATGGAGTCAAACTTTCCGATTATGAAAATTATTTTTGACCAACATATGAGCTATTTCAAGCAAAAAAGAACATACCTATTTTTCATTTGTCCTTGATTCTTTACAAAAGTTATTTTTGCTGAATCAGTTTTTTGAACATGGGTGTATGTAAAAATATTGACTCTTTCATCTGACTGTTAATTAAAAAGTAATTAGCGGATACCTTTCTAACTATACAAGAAAACTTCAAAATAAATTCTACGAGATGAATCGTATCTATGATGAAATTTTTAGCTAGATCAGACTGCAAACAACTTTTTCATAAAAACTAGTTTTCTAGAGATCGTATCAAGTCTCGAAACAGAAATTTTTTTCTTACTATATCGTCTAGAAATTCTGAAGAAGAGTTCGCA